TCTAGGATTTCTATACTTTAGCTCTATGACCTATTTCAAGTTAATTTTTTGTGATGGGAGTATATTTACTTCTAGATTCATATTTTTACATGTATTCAACTCTTCCTACACTATCTTTGCTCTTTTTCATAGACCAGTTCATTATATTGATGTGAATCTATTTCTGGGTTCTCTATTCTGTCCTGTTCATCTATTTTTCTATTTCTTTCCTAATACTACACTGTCTTGATTACTGTAATATTATAGTCCTAGGTTTTTAAGTTGGGTAGTTTACATCTTTTAACTTTGTTGATCTCAGTCAATACTATGTTGGCTATTTTAGGTTTTTTTGCTTGTCCATATATATATACTTAATAACCAGTTTGTTGATATCTATAAAAAAACTTGTTTGGATTTTGGATGGGATTACAGATTGCATTGAATTTATAGATCAAATTGGGAAGAACATTTTGACATTACTGAGTCTTCCTAAGCATGATCATGTAATTCTTAGTTTTTTTTTTTTTTTTTTTTTTTTTTTTGGTTTTGGGGATCCAACTTGGGACTTTGCACTTACAAGGCAGGCATCAGAACCACTGAGGTAAATCCCCAGTGACTGAATTTTTTGTTTGTTTGTTTCGGGGATCCAACTCAGGACCTTGTGCTTTTGAGGCAGGTGGCGACAACTTAGTTCTTAAATGTCTTTCATTAGAGTTTTATTGCTTTCCTCACGAAGACAATTATTTCATGTGCTGATGCAAATACTGCACTTTAAATTTCATATTGCATCTGTTCATTGCTAGTATATCAGAAAGTGCTTCGTATTTTGTACATTTACTTTTATTCTGCAACCTTGCTGTAATTGCTTATTAGTTTCAGGTGACGTTTTTCATGATTCTTTCAGATTTCCCACATAAATGAACATGTCATATGTGAACAAAACAGTTTTATTTCTTCAATCCCAATCTATATTACTTCCGTCCTTTTCTTGTCTTATTGTCTTAGCTAGGACCTCCAGTATGATGTTGAAAGCAGGGATGAGGGGGGATAGTCTTGTCTTGTTACTGACCTCAGTCAGAAAAGTTTCAGCTTCTCATTATTAAGTATCATGTTAGCTATAAGTTTTTGAAGAAATTCTTTATCAAACTGAAGTTCTATGCTACTTTCACTGAATTATACAAATTTTGACAAATTGTACTTTCATTTTCACTTATTCAAAATATCTTTAAATTTCTCTTGAAAGTTATTCTTTGGCTCATGTGTTATATAGAAGTATGATGTTTAATCTTCACTCTTTGGGGATTCCTCAGGTTTTTTTTGTTATCTTTGCTTGTTTTTTAAAATTCATTTATAGATTAACACTATTGTGGTTGGTAAAATAGATTAACACTATTAATGTATTAATACTAATACTATAGTATTAATATAGTACTATTATATTATTTCTATTCTTTTAAATTTGTTAAGATATATTTTATGGCCCAGATTGTGATCTTGGTGAGTTTTCCATGCAAACTTGAGAAGAGTGTGCAGTATGTTGATACTGGATAAAACAGTCAGTAGATATTAATTATATTCAGTTGACTGACATTGAGATCAAATGTGTCCTGATTTTCTTCATGGCAGATCTGTTCATTTCTGACAAGGAGTGATGAAGAATGAAGTCTTCAACCATAATAGTGGATTCATCTACTTCTCCTTGCAGTCTTATAGGTTTTTATGTCCTGTAGTTTGATGCTTTGTTGCTAGGTACATACACACTAAAGACTGTTCTATTTTCTTGGAGAACTGACACTTTATCATTATGTAATGCTCTTGTTCCCAAAACTCTTCTAAAATTAATATAGCTACTCCTGCATATTCGTTATAGTTACAACATATATTTTTCTCCATACATTTATTTTACTTTAAATTTGTGTGTCTTTACATATAAAGTGAATTTCCTGTAGTCACCACACACCTAAAATGTTTTTTGATCCATTCTGACAATCTCTGTCTTTCAGTTGGTGCATTTAAACCACTGAGGTTTTAAGTGATTATTGATATATTAAATGATATTGACATATCGATATTGATTAGTATCTATCATGTTTTTTACTGTTTTCTATTTGTTGTCCATGTTTTTTTTTTTTTTTTGGTACCAGAGATTGAACTCAGGTCCTTGCTCTTGTGAGACAGGTACTGGAACCACTGAGCTAAATTCCTGGCCCATGTTGTCCATGGTTTTTATTCTTATTTTTGCTTTCTATTGTTATACTGCCTTGTGCACGTGTGTGTGTGTGCGTGTGTGTGTGTGTGTGTGTGTGTGTGTATTTAAGAGATGGTTGTCTCACTATATTGTACAGGTTGGCTTTGAACTCCTGACCCTATGAAATCCTTCTGCCTCAGAGCTACAAAGTACCTGTGACTACAGAGGTGCACCTCAGTGTCTAGCCTTTCCGTGTTTTTTTTTTAATTGAGTTTATTGGTACTTTTTAAGAATACAATACAGTTACATTTATCATTGGGATCTTGTACCTTTACATGACAGTTTTTGGTTCTCATTTTTTCCCCATACTCCTGCCCTCCCTTCACCCCCTCCACCCTTCCCTATTTACAAAGACGTTGTTTCCATTTTTTCCTCTTCTCATATTTTATTTTCCCTTATTTCCTTACCCCTATCCTTTCTACTTCCCCTACACCTTTAGCCCCTTTCTTCCTATTTCACATTGTCAGTTATACAATTTGGATCTTATTTACACTTTTAGTTTTTCACATCAGAGAAACTACTCAGTATTTATACATGTGTGTCACATTTATTTCACTTAAGAGTATGGCCTCACTCTCTCTCTGCTCTTTCTCTCTGCTCTGCTCCCCTGAATAAAATCTCCAGTTGGAAAAAAAAAGAGTATGGCCTCAATATGCATCCATTTTCCTATGAATGACGCTAGTTTCTCATGCTTTATGGCTGAGTAGTACCCAACCTTTCTGTGGTTTTAACTGTACATTTTATATAATTCCATTTCCTTTCTCTTCTTATCATATCTACTATACTTCTGTTTTTTGGTACTGGGATTGAACTTGGGCCCTTGTACTTGCAAGGCAGGCCACCGAACCACTGAGTTAAATCCCCGGCCTATACTTCTTCATGTACTTTTTCTATTAGTTATTCTAGAGTTTTCAATATACATATACAATTAATCCAAATTCATTTTCAAATACTATACCACTTCACAGTAGAAAACATATCTTGTAATAACAAAATAATCTTATTTCCTTCCTACCATTCATTGTATCATTGCTGTAATTCATTTCACTTATATATAAGAATATATACAGAAGCATATATAATAGATACGCTATTGCTATTATTTGAACAAACTGTTAGATTAGTTAAGGAAAAAATATTTTTATTTTACCTTCACATATTCCTGCTTTGATGTACTTCTTTCTCTAAGAAGGTCCAAGTTCTGATCTGTATAATTTTCCTTCTCACTAAAGAAATCTAACTTTTTTTTTACGGTGTAGGTCTATTGGCAACAATTAATTCAATTTCATTTAAGAAACTTTTGAGGGATAATTTTACAGGGTACAGAATTTTAAGGTTTTCCTCTCATATTTTAAATATTTTACTCTACTTTCTTGCTTTACATGGCTTCTGAAGAGAACTTGGATATGACTCTTTATTTTGGATACTCTATTTTCCCTTCTGGCATGTCTTAGGACTTTTCTTTATCTCTGATTTTCTAGTTTGAAAATTATGTATGCTTTGTTGTTTGGGGGGCTATTTATTGCACTTGGAGTCCTCTGAACTTTCTAGATTTGTGGTTTGGTTCTGATATTAATTTGGGAAAGTAATTTTTTTTTTAGCTAGGTGTATTTAAGGCATGTTCAATTTATGATGCTTTTTTTAGAGTCTGAAATTCTGACCACAGAACATGAAGTATTCCTCAGACTTAAAGTAGGTATTATCTTATGTACCAAACCATAAAACTGGACAAGTACGAGGGTATTCTATTATCAAGTGAAAGTGATACACAAGAGATCAGGTACAAGCAGGTCATAAATAAACAAATAGGTTGATGAGCAGTAGGTTTGTATTCCCCATTCACTTCTTCTCTCTTCCATATAATCATTTTTCCCTCAAATCATACCTATAATCTCTAGGGAGTTCCTTAATGATCAGCTATCTAAGAAAAAAATTCAAGTTTGGTGTCTCATGCTGGTAACAGGTGGAAGTGATTTCATGAATGCCTCCACAAAGCGGTGACCTTGACAACAGAAACAAATCTTCACTGTAGGCCAAACTTTCAGAAGTATATTTATGTTATTTTCTACTTTGCGTCAAAGGAAAGATGTCAAGAAACATAGTACCAAATTATGTGTAACAACTAACTGTAGGCCTGGATGACAGTGGATTTGGGAGAATCTAATTGAAGGATCAGTGACAAAGTAGTCTAGGCAAAAGGTAGTGGATGGATCTTGTAGACTGAATGATTAGCATGAGACTATTTTCATCACAAATGAATGCATACCAAGGGGCATATAACACATTTTATGCACTCAACAACTGGAGGGATAAAAGAATGCCACAGGAAGTGGCCATGACATGGGAAAAGGAGGTATGAACTGAGCAGCATGGCTTTTCCCCCTAATACTGCCGGCCATTACTGCAGAGTCCTGTCTTGTCCAACACCAAAGATCAGTGTTGAGCTTCCACCACAGTACCACAGTCCAGGGAGATCTGCCACTCACAAATTAACAGCTTGAGGGGCAACTTCTATCATTTGGAAGGATAGCAGGAATCTGCCTACTCTATAATTCACAGTTACTCTAGATATGGATGTATTTTCTCTGCCCACATTGCTCTGCCAGTAGCACCATCTGTAGACTTACTCAGAATCATGGTATCCCACACAATGCTTCTACCAAGGTACTTACTTTATTGCACAAGAAGTGAGATCAGAGACTCACCTCACAGACTTTGTCAGTCATACCATGAATCCTATCAACCCAGACATGTTTCGGGTAGTTCCACCTACCGAGTAAGTTAATAACTCCATCATTATAGCAAGCAAAAAGTTTGATAAGATCTTTGAAAAGAAGCATAAATGCAGCATTTATGACACCATTTGTTAGTTCATTTGGATGCACCTAGAAAGACAAAAATTTAATGTTAGCTGCATATCAAAGGAGTATTTTCTCAAATCATATTAAAATGTCTCAAATAATAACTAAAAAACTCATATTCTACACATGTTGGCTGTTTTAGCAATTTAACAATATCAAAAGACGAATTACAAATGTTGTTGCCTCAATATAAGTTAATAAAGTTAGACCTATCTGTTAAAAGACATACACATTATTTGACCAATGATACACAGATTACTCAAATCCAGCTTTTGACATTCAGTTTTTTGCTATAGCACATCTCTTTCATTTCCCCTACCTAATGGTTTCTGTAAAAGGGTTAGGTCTTTGCAGACCCCTAGAGAACTCAGTGAGGAAGAACAGCATGGAGAATATCTTACTCAACTCCCTCTAAAATACTTTCTAAGACTAGCAGTCATCCGCTCATCTACTACCATAGATACTCTATTGCCAATACAGAAAAAAATGACTTCTTCCCACTCCCCAATCCTTTTTCACATCTCTTCAGACTTTTTCCCCCTCTATGTGACATCTCTCCTTTAATAAAGAACCCTTACTGAGCAAGGAAAATGAATAAAAACATATGAACAAAAATAATAAAAGTTAAGAGAGATCTAATAATGTATTTATTGTAAAATCTGTCAAAAACATTAAGATCGATTACTGATTTTACTGAAATTTTACAGCAGTTAGGTGTTACAATAAGGGCTCAATGATAGACTAAAGCACATAATCTTAACAGAGACTTTAAGCCACTAATATTTGAATAAAGTGTTTTAGGCAACCACCAAAATGCAGAAAAGGGGACAGTGTGAATTAAGAACTTTCCTACATGTGAAAAAATATTTTATTTTCATGAGTCAGGTTACTTAAACTTTTAATTCTGAGTTAACTGTAAATTCACATGCAGATCCAAGAAGTAACACAGAGAGATCCCACATTCCATTTACCCAGTTTCTTCCAAGGTGACATCTTACAAAATATTGTTTTGTAACTACAATTAATAATATCACAATCAGAATATTAGCAATGACACAATGGATGTTATTTCAATTTCCCTACATTTATGTGTACTCATTTGTGTGTGTGTACATGCATGTCTTTAGTTCTTTATCTCTTGAGTGGGTTAGTGTATCTACTACCACAGCTAAATATAGATATGGTTTTAAGAGACAAATCATACTAATATTGCCTGAAAGGACTTAATGTTATTGACGATAAAACAAAAACTGCCGGCATGGTGGTGCATTCCTGTAATCCCAGCACTTGGAAGGCTGAGGCAGGAGGATTGTCATGAGTTCAAGACCAGCCTGGGCTACATAGCGAGTTCCAGATCAGACTCAACTACGCAGTGAGACCCTGTCTCAAAAAACTAAAAAAAAAAAAAATTACCTTTGGTGTAGAGTGTCACTTAAGCAATCCATATAAAATACAGCAGATCAAGTTATTTACTTGCCTGCATGTAGATCTTGCAGATACCTCACTTGTCAAGCCCAACAGGAGGCTATCATACTATTAAGAATATAAATTTCCAAGATTTCAGCATCCAAATTTTTCTGTAACTTTAGTAAAAACCTGACAAACCCTTGCAAAATCTGGGGGGAACCTAAATCATCTCTTCTGAGCACAACAGACTGAACTAAGTATTCAACTCATTCATCTAAATGAGAAAGATCTCAAACTGCTTCCTGAGGAACTTCTGGATTTGCCTGCAGCTCACCTTCAAAGAAAAACCAATACTGATTGTGCTAGAAACATTTTCTGATGAGATACATACATCAAATTCAAGCAGTGCGTCAATCTGTCCCTGCAGTATTGGCATACTCTTTAGAAGCTTTTCGGGAGCCATTGTCCTCATTACACCATCGGCCCTGTAATATTTTTTTAAAAGCAAAGGATTAAACTTCCTTGATAAGGAAAATTCAGTACCACATATATTGTTCTAAACTGTGCCCATTCCCAATTTCCTCATTATTCTTATAAGACCATTAAAAGGCACTAAGAGGTTGTAGCTGTTTCTCATTTCTGTTCTACTTCATCTTGGGCATGCACATTCCCCAACCACATAAGCAATGCTTTCTTTTTATCTACACAATCCTTAGGAAGAAAGTAATGCAGTGTGGATAGCAGGGGCCAGTTGAATTTCTGAATGGATTAAAAAAATCTGTAACAGAAGGAGAGTGAAGAAATATGTAAGTTTTCTAATAAGGCAGTTTTTTGTTTGTGAGAGAGAGAAAATATGCCTTGGAAGCCTATGAAACCTATAGGACTGGCAGTACAGTTTATGCTATTAACAATAAAATGAAGAAAAATATATGCTGAAATGAACAGGCTTCCCAAATGGAGGTAAGAATTTAGCAGCTGAGTATCAGAGTAGAGGTTGGTGCTCAAGGGGAAATCAGAGAGGCTAGTATGCTCTGTAATTATCTACAGGCCTTTCAGGGAGCTCCTGCATTCAGTGATAGTCAAAGAGCAGCTGCATTGCCATAGCTGAGAAAAATAGCCAGGTGATATGGACAGGTTGATAATGGCAACTCTTGGAGTCTTAATCCAGGAGTGAGGAAAGCATTTCAGAGTATCCTTAAGGGTCCAGGCAGGGTTGCAGGCCATACATCTATTTTTGGAGAGGCCACATTACAGCCAGGAACATCAAAACAGGCGCCTACAGCCATGTAAGAAGTCAAAAGGAGGTATAAGAGCTAGAGCTCTATTGAGAAGACGATAAAAGAAAAAACAAACAATTCTATGAAATATTCGCTCACAAGAAAATGAACTATTTCAATACCAAAGTTGATATTTTTCATTACCATGATGAAAAAGTAGGCCAGAATTAAGAGTAGGTGAAATATTATAAAGATAGGTATATCTTTTCATTTGGATTCTTGAAACGAAATTATTAAAGCTCCTATAACACCTTGCCACTATTTCAAGTTAGGAACAGATAAAAAGATCTGCACAAACTTTTGGATGAACAATTTTGACTAGCCTTAAATATCTGTTTAGAAGGAAGTAAATGGTAATTACGGGTTAAAATTCAAATGTTTCTCTTTCAATGAGGTTTTCTTAACCAACAGTTGGTATTAATAATTAATTTGATTATGACATGCATGTATTTCATAGGACATATTGCTTTCAAAAATATATCATCATATATACAAGCTCATTCTCACCTAAACACATTGAAATAAGTATTGTCATCTATAGCTGCTAAATGAACTGTGTCAGTTATCTATCTCTTAAATTATATAAAGGTATTTAGATATTTAAGAATTTCAAATTAATTTAAAATTTTTATTAATCTTAAACCATGTAAATATTGAACAGCAAATTGGATTTTCTGTATGAATATATAAATAAAACATGCATATTACAACCTCAAGACTAACTTCTATCATGTTATTTATTGAGCTGCTTCATCAGGTGATTGTAAACTGGCCTCATGATCAAAATCAGTTGGTATATAAGCTTAGTTAAATCAAATATAAATTGAGGACTGTACTGCTCAAATAAATATAAGACAAAAAACTTACCCTTTCTTCACCCTGGCAAAATCAAATGCCATCTGTCTGTAAGAAAAGGCCTTTTCATTCAAATATCTACTATAGCGCCTTATGAAGGTAGACATGTCATAGCCTGAAGGAAAAGGGGAAAAAAAACAAAAAAATAAAAATATTTTCAATTGTCTTTTGCATAGCACTATTTTTTTTTAACACTTCAAATGCTCAAATGTATACAGTTCTAGGATAAGGTCAATAAGTGTATCTGAAGGACTTGTTTAAATTCTACTTCTAGGAGGAAATACTTTCAACATGGGGCATTTCATTACCCTCTTTGTACAGAATAACTTTTCTGATTATTCTTTTTTTTCACAGTTTCAAATAAGTCTGTGTCATACATAATAACGCAGCCATCTGATAACAGTCTATTTGATGTGCTTACCTTCCAAGTAACAGATGACCAATAAATATGATGAACAAATGACTCAAATTCTATTAATCTAGAAGGAAAACTTCTTTAATACTGAAATCATTTTTTAAAAATTTATTTTATCCTTATACCTTCATAAACAAACTGTGAGTTTAGCATACACACTGTTACTTTTTAAAGTGAACATTGAAAATGTGAAAAAAAGATGTTTTATGTGCTGGGTTTAAAGATATGTCACAATGATTTTGGATCAATAACCTCACATCAAAACACTAAGCATCAGCAAAAATATATACATAAATATATAAAGATTTTATATTCTCACCATGAGATCCACTTTTGTCCAAAAAATTGCTGAGATTGAATAGTGTATTTCTAGAGGCCAAATACTGAATAAATCTCTGAAAAACAAAATTTAGAATCAAATGCCCATATTCTCAAATCAAACCTTTAAATAATTTCTGATATTTTACAAATTTTCATTGTGAACTCTTTTATGTAGTTATAAAGCTTTCTATTCTGCTCAATTTCTTGGGGTATGAACTTTTATTTGTTTGTAGCAGGAAGTATAAATTTAATAGGATTCACTAGGTATTTCATACAAAAATAATTGTATCAGTATTTTTCAAAATTAAATATTTTAGGAAAGCAATTTTTATTCAGGGGCATGAAGAACATTTCCTATGGGGATAATTTTATTGTTTTCTTCTAACACTTTTACCCACTAGCATGTTTACATGGTGTGTACATTTTAGACACCAGTAATGTTTAGGATTTCAGTATTTCTAAGACAAAAACTAAAAAAAAAAAATTTAAAATATAGCTAAATGAAGATTAAAATTATACTCCAAATGACTGAATGGTAGATTTCTTATTTTTCTCCTAATTAGTGAAAATTAAAAGGTTCTCTAATCATCATATTCTTCCATGAATGCCTCCATCACCCCTTAAGAAAGTTAGGTTTACTTATTTTACCTCATTTCCATGCACCATGAGATGATGTGTTGTCACTAATGCTTTAAATACAACCACCCAGCTACTATTTGTTGCCCGCTCAAAGAGTGTGTCGGCCATCTGAGGAATGTTAACATTGGTCTCGTTGGTAGCCTGGATCAAATCTATGAAAACAGAAGATATATTAAACACTACTTACAAGATTACACTAACAAATTAACTTCATACTTTCAACATTTAATCCTCTTTACTAAACTGTTGTTTCAAAATTACTTTGGTGAGTTACTTTTAAAAAATTGAATTGTAATTATTTTTACATATTGAGACATCAAATACATTATTTATAGAATGTATTGATTTATTCATGAGTTTATTTTCTTCAATAAATTCTTTTCTGTGTCCTTATTTTATCTATTTCTTGGTACTGATACTGTTTTTTAAATTATAAACTCCAGGAGATCTAAACCTCATGTTTATTTTCTTTGTTACTGGTCCAAACACGAAGACACTTACCATCTACACCATTTGAAGGCAAATACATAAATGTATTTTTTGGAACAAAATCACTGAAAATACCTTACTTTAATTTTAATTTTGAAGAGTGTTAATAAACATATTTGTGAGTGGCGGAATGAGAGCAAATGATAAAAGAATTCCATTATGTACAAGTATGCATTCATAGAACATCATGCATACGTTAAACTACCATGATTTGACCTGAATTCACAAGAAAGCAAACATTTATAATACATTAACTTGTCCACATCTGCTTATTAATGAGGTTCAGGTATTGGGGGTATATAAAAGGTCAGCAGAGTTTGCTTATTGTTCAGAAAATGTTTGGTGTCAAAAGCTGGGTCAGGAACAGAAGCTAAGACACACAGAGACAGTGCAAACTGGAGTGCTTTCAACAACACAGGCTGACTGACCCCTTCAGGACAACAGGTCTGCATGACTTCTATTATAGGCCATCCCTACTCAGCAGAGAGCCACATGTGATACCCCAGCTCCTAGGAAATCCCAGGCAGAAAAAGCAGAGATAAGTAGAGATAAACCCACCCTTTTCTTCCTCATTCAAAATTCCCACTCCATAAGCATTAAGCTGTACGTCTGTTCTATGCATTTCCCTATTTCACAATAAATAAGGGTTAAAAAATTGATAGCAATGGTTAGATGTGTAATTCTGGGCAAATTATTTCACTCAAGCTCTCATTTGAAATGACAGTAATAATTATTGTCTTTTAGAACATTATAGGGTTGCAAACCATCTCAACAGAGAAGGCACTCAAAATAAACTTTTGTGAGTACACACTGAACTGTGAGAATATAATGGGAGTATTAGGAAAGAATGTATGGAGAGAAAAAGCTGAGTGGAAGTGGAGTAAGAAGGACATTTTAAACAAGTGTGCAAAGTGCTGAGGCATAAGAGGCGTGTGTCCCTGAACAGCTGTGGTGGTCCAGGGGCTGGGTGTGGAGAGATGGGCAGTGAGACTTAAGCTGAAGAGTTAAGAATAGCCAGTGAGGAGTCTCATATACTACACAAGAGTTTAAATTTTATCCCATGGACAAAAGGAAGCCCTTTTTAGTGACTACTAAATACTATCTGCAAAGTATAATAGAGGCACAGGGCAAGGAATAATCACCATTACACGGAAATATTTACTGAAAGAAGGAAAAATAGAAAGTTGGAATCAGATGATATAAAACTGAATTAATGAAAAGGCAGTGAAGATTGAAGGATAACAAAAGAAGCAGAAAGATACTAAGTACAACTAACTGGCTTTGCAGGTAGGCAAGTATATGTTAGTGGTAAAGAGAAAAGGGAATTTTGAACAACTCCAAATTTTTGGTCTGGGGTTCCACTAAATGCTATTTACTGAAATTGGAGAAAAGTTGGTTTCAAGGGAGGTATTAAGTATTTCAGACATAATAAATTTGGAAGAGCTGTTGTGATCCAAACTGAGATGTCTACTAAAGGATTGGAAATCTAAAGCTTTAGAGAAACACTTGCCTAGATAGAAAGTTGAGAGTCATTAGGAATTAAACAGAAGTCAAAACTATACATTTAGAAGAAGTAATCCAAATATCATACAAAGAAAAATGAAAATGACATGTGTAAATAAGAATAAAAGCTAAGAAAGATCATCACTTAAGATGTGAAAGAGAATTGAGTATAAGGACAAAGTAAAGAGTTCCAGAAAAGTGAAACAGTATTAACTCCAAAAACTACAAGAAGCAATTAGTGATGGTAAAGGTCAAATCCACAGAAAATCCCAGTTAGCCAACATGTAAGAATAGAATATATGAATGAAAGATGGTCGCTATGTTTGGCAGAGAAGGATCAAAGCTCAGGCTCAATGGGAGTAAGGAATAAATGGTGAAAGGAAAGGCTTTTTTACTGTTTAAAAAGATGAGAAACATTTAAGCATTTTTGAGGTCAGGAGAAAAAGCCCAAAAGAAGTGATGTTGAAAATAAAAATAGAGATAACATGGGAAAATGTGAGCTCTAAAATCCAGGGCTTAGGGCTCAGGCTCCAAGATGAGTCTCAGAGGGAAGAGTCATACAGTGAAGAGTGTTGAAAATGGCTGCCCTGAGTGGAGATGAAAGAATGATGAGCTGTTCTCTGGAGAAAAATATCTCTGATGAAGAAGTAAAACTTAATAATTTCCTTAAATCTTAAACCCAATCTTTTTGAAAGAAGGTCTTACTATGTTGCCCAGACTGTCCTCCAACTCCTGGGCTCAAGGGATCTTCCTGCTTCAGACTCTTGAACAGCTGGGACTACTGGCATGTGCCAGGCTATTATACTTATCTTTGTACTATTCTATATCAAGGATTGGCAAACTAAGGTTTGCTAGGAAAATCTGGCCTGATTTATTTTTGTAAAATTTTACTGGAACATAGCCATGTTGTTGCTATGTTCATTGTTTGAGGCTGCTTTCATACTATGATAACACAGCTGAATAGCTATGACACTCAACTCACACTCAATTCAGTCACCCACAAAGCCTAACGTATCTACTGCCTAACATTGTACGGAAAGTGTTTGTTGACTGCTTCTATAACACTAACTGGAAAGTATGCCTAAAAAAGATTCATGATGCATAACAAAAATCAATGGCTGTCTCAAGGGAAAGTACTTGCATGACTGAACTGTGTGAACTATTTTACTTTTCTGGACAACAATTTTAACTTGAAAAAATGCTTGATAGACTTCAATCTATGATGATTCAGACTTGGTATTAAGCAGTAGTTATTTTAAGAGAAATAAAGTAAGTTTGTAACTTTATTTACAAACCTTGTCTGCCACAGTAAGCCTCACAGCTTTCTCATTTATAGTGACTTCTCTGGTACCACTGGTGGCAATGATATTGATAGTTATGTAGTCTAATGTGCCAACATCTGAAAGAACTAATACTCAGGGAACTAATATTTTCCAAATGACTAACATTACATTGCATAACATTACAAAATAATGCATGTGTAAAAGATCTATTCAAAGTATAAGGCAGACCAATAGGCTTTAATATTACAGAATACAAAAGTTTTGAAATTCAACAATGCAACTTAATTTAAGAAACTACCACTTGGAGAGTTGTGTAGTACCAAAGAAAACTATCCAAAATTTTCCAAAAAGCCTATTTAAAAGAATTCTCATTTTCTAGCTGCATATCTTTATGAGGCAAGATTTTATTCATATATTCAAATAAAACAATAAATCTCAACAGATTTAATACGGGAACAGATATAACTATCAGTTTTCTACTAGGCAAGATATTAAAGAAACTTGTGAAAATATAAAACAATACCACTTTTTTGCTATTTTTTACATTTGGAATATTTTCTGTGAACAATTATTTTTATTAACATCCTAATAGGTTTATTACCCTTATTTAAAAGTATTTCAAAACTTACCTGTTTTAATTTCTAAGATAGTAAATATCTCACATAAACGAAAACCTGGTTGAGTTTCTCAATTATAAAGAACTCCTGAAACCAGTTTGATAGCTGCTATTTTCATATACAGCTAGAAATAGAATTGCTCAATTGTAGGGTATGCATATACTTAATTTTAAAATGTTTTTACATAGTGATCAGATAAATCTATGTTCTCACTAGTAGATTTTATGTTTCTACTGCTTCACTTCCTCACCAAATGGTTTTCAAGAATTAAAAAAACTTAAACAAAAACTATAACTATATAGAGAAAAATACTTGAAAATTGAGGGTGTCCAAATGCTCTATATTTGTAATATTTGAAGTTCTCAGACTTCAAAGTTTTAGTTGAACTTAGGAAGATATATCTGGTAACCTTTTAACAGTTTAAAAATTAGCTTCACTAGAGTATAGTTGGCACAAAAATAGCACAAAGCTAAAGTATACTAATACATTTGGACAAAGATGAGTTCATAAAATCATCACCAAAATCAAAATAGGGTACATATCCATCACTCTCAATGGCTTCCTGCTCTTTTTCCTTCTTTCCTACCTTTTCCTATTCTCCCCACTGCCCGACACCTTAGCAACCACAAGTTTTCTATCAGCATAAACTAATGTGCCATTTCTAAATTTTACATAAAGAGAAATTATTATTATTATTATTGTTAATATTATTTTCGGTACTGGGGATTGAACTTGGGACCTTGCACTTGCGAGGCAGGTGGTGGAACCACTGAGCTAGAGAGAAATTATTTTCTTCTGTGGGGAATATGTCTGGATTCTTTCAGTCAATAACATTATTTTAGGATTTACTATTGATATTGCATGCATCAATAGTTTATACCCTCTCATTGTTGAAGTATATTCTATTAATAAACATGACAAGCTGTTTATTCATTTACCCATTAATGAACATTTGGGGTGATTTCAGTTTTTGGCTATTATGCACACAGTTGCTATGAGCATTCATATATAATTATTTGTATATAAATAGACATACACATTATTTTTCCTTGATTAATTGCCTAGGAATAGATTGAGTCATTTTGGTGTTTAAGAAACTATCTACAAAATGTTTATGTCATGTTACATTCCCACCAGCATTGTATGAGTATTCTAAATGCTGCATATTTTCCCCAAGACTAAGTATGGTCTTTTTAATTTTCTTTCTTTTTTTTTTCCATTCTGACAGGTATGTTGTAGTATCTCATATGTTTTTTTTTC